CCCCCCCCCATTAGGTTATTTACATAAACAATTTTGGAGATGTAAAGTACTAGGTAGTATTTTTTTTATATATAATGAAAATAACTGGTTTCAAAGAAATGTTAGGAAACATATTGATAGCATCAAGCTAATGAGAAGGTCAGATAAATAAATTGTGAAAGTTTTAATTAGGTCTATAAAGGGTTATACATTTTTGGCTTTGTTTGTCAAATTAACAATTAGTGGGTTGAGTATATTTTAGCTAGGGATCATGCTGTGCGGTAGTAAGGCGAGTATGGCATTTACTATTCATGTGACTGGGACATCAGCCTTGTGTATTTTGGGTAATCTACAAGTTGCAGAAGTTTGCTTCCATTATTATCTAATGTTTGATAGTTGTCAGATTTCAATGATAATTTGTTGATTTTTGTATTGTTTGTAGGGTCATTTCTTAATTCCTTGTAAAGTCCTGTCTGGATTATTCTTTGTAGTTTTCTTCATAATCTGTCTTGTTCATTATCACTGTACAGTTTACTTTTACTGTTGATAAAAATATATATTGAGGGATATTTTCGTAAGCTTTGAATGGCAGCTTGTTTTTGTTCCAGGGGTAAAAATCTGTATTGTTGATTTGTGTTGCTGAATGGTTGAAGGAAGTCTGAGTTGATTTGTGTTGCTGAATGGTTGAGGAAGTCAGTGGTCTGAGTTGATTTGTGTTGCTGAATGGTTGAGGAAGTCAGTGGTCTGAGTTGATTTGTGTTGCTGAGTGGTTGAGGAAGTCAAGGGTCTGAGTTGATTTGTGTTGCTGAATGGTTGAGGAAGTCAAGAGTCTGAGTTCATTACCTTTTGGCCCCCCAGTGGCACAGCAGTATGTTGATTCGTGTTTCTGAATGGTTGAGGAAGTCAAGGGTCTGAGTTGATTTGTGTGTTGCTGAATGGTTGAGGAAGTCAATGGTCTGAGTTGATTTGTGTTGCTGAATGGTTGAGGAAGTCAAGAATCTGAGTTCATTACCTTTTGGCCCCCCAGTGGCACAGCAGTATGTTGATTTGTGTTGCTGAATGGTTGAGGAAGTCAAGAGTCTGAGTTGATTACCTTTTGGTCCCCCAGTGTCACATCAGTATTCTGCAGACTTACATCTCTAGAAACTGGGTTTCGATACCTGTGGTGGGCAGAGCACAGATAGCCCTTTGTGCAGCTTTGTGCTTAACTTCAAACAAACTAAATCATTACCTTTTGTTATTGGTTCAAGGTTTGGTTTGTAGAATTGAAGTTTATGTTTTGGTCTATTTAGTTCATTGGTGTTTATTAGTATGATGTTAAGTTCATTCAAATCTCTGTAATATTTTACATTTTTGTCTGCATAGTTGAATTATCTTTTTAAGTAACTTTGAAGAAATTTCTTGTAGGATCTTGCTGATGTCTTGGGTTGGAACTTACTGATCTGAAAAGTAAGGTTGTTTTAGCATGTTATTGAGTTGTGGAGATGACTGTATCTATTGAGTTTTCATGGTGGCCAGTCCACAATGGGTTCAGACATGTTGTTTCAAGGTCATTTTAACAGTGTAGACTGTTAGAGTTTGGGCTTTAATATACTTCTTCTGCTTGTTACTATAGTGGAATGATGTTTTGCTTTTAGCTTATATACTGAGGCTTTCTGTTGAAGTTAGCTATGTATCATTTTTTTGTTGGTTGGTATGTTCCTATGATAGAGTTCCTTCCTTTAGTTTTCCATATGAATATACCTATCTGAAAGTATTTGGTGTGTAGTTTGTTGAAATAGGTTTTCCAAGGGCTGCTAATTTCAAAGCTGTGGTCTTCAGTGAGTGTTAGTTGATGTAAAGGGATTCTTTAATTTTCCTAATTTTCCAATGGTACACATTTGTCCCATTGTATGATAAGACCTGTTTTGCACAAAACCACTTTGTCTTGCAATATATCATTTACTGAAATATAAAACACCACTCTGACCAATAAACACAGAATTTCCATGCAAATTGTGATAGGCTTACAGTGAATTAAAAATTATACTCTATTGGTGACATCACTAAATGCATGAGAGTTTTCATCTCAGATCTTGTCTGGTACTATAGCCAACCTGTGGATACAGTTTTACTGGGTGCATTTCCCATATAGAGACATATGGCAATAATGTAAACAATGTGGTTAAGAGAAAGAATTGTCTGCACCAGAAAAAACCCATTAGTGAGTTATAGGTTCTTCATTCTAAAGAATAAACTTAGATTTTGCCAGATCCCTTTCTTTAAAGCAATCATGGGACTAAACCATATGTACAGACTGATATATTGTTTAAAACAGTCACTGACAAATTAGCCAAACACTACTCTGATCTGGCAGAAGATAAGAGGAGTAACATTGAACATTCACTGGAAATCCTCAGTGAGTCAGTGGAAGAGAAGACTCTCCCAAGTATGTTACACAATTGGCCACAATGCAACAGTAATGGACTGATCCCATATTAGAAAAGTAATACTGATTATAATTCCGAACTTGCAAAATGTGGCAAGCTTTTAGCCAACAGCACAAGTCTGTTGTACTTAAAACATCAGATGTATTACTAAAGTTTTTGTACTAAAGATATGTCTATGAAATGTTGAAGTCAATCTAACTCAGACTCTGACATATAAGAGTGCAAGATGATGTTCAGTGATGAATGACAAAAATACTTTTGTCAATCATATACATTTGTAAATTGAATTTGCATACCCTCTACAACTGTTAAATGCATATCTAAAGTTGTTGTTTTTTTTCCAATATCCCTGTTTATTGGCACTGGCATTTTTTGTACTTTAATATGAACTGTCAAAAAATCAAAAATATAGGGTAACATGAAACATTGATAACTCTGACATCAGATGTATAATGTCATGATGAATGCTTGATTTTGTGTGTAAATTTATGTTTGTTTGTTTGTTTTTTTCAAATACTGTAACTACACATATATAGTTACAAATGGAGTTCAGTGAAACTGGATTAATGTCACAAGTGGGGTACCTCAGGGCTCAGCCTTAGGACCTTTGATCTTTTTCACTTACATCAATGGCATAGATGATGGAATAATCAATAAATTACTTAAATTTACAGATGATATTAAGGTCTTGGGTGTTGCAAGCTGTGAAGAGGATGCTACTGACTTGCAAAATGATTTAGATCATTTAATAAGTTGGGCAAGTAAATTGCATTTGGGTTTTAGTTATAATATATGCAAGATAATGCATGTGGGTTATAATAATTTGAATTATAAGTATAATTTGGATGGGAATAATCTCAACAGTGTTATGAAGGAAAGGGATCTTGGGGTAATAGTTGATCAGCCTCTAAAGCCAACTAAGCAGTGTGCTGTTGCTAGTGGTAGGGCAAATAGGATTTTACGTTGTATCTACAGAAATATTGAATAAAAAGCCTAAAAAGGCTATAATTTCATTGTACATATCACTGGTTAGGCCACATTTGGAATATTGTATTCAATCTTGGGCTCCTTACTTTAGGAAAGACATTGAATTGTTGGAAAGGATTCAGAGAATGGTGCCTGAGATAGAAGGGTTGTAATACAAGAAGAGGCTGAAATCTCTCAAATAGTTTTCTCTTGAAAAAATAAGAGTTGGGGGGATCTGATTGAGATGTTTAAGATTGTAAATGCAGTTGATAGTGTTGATGCATCATCTTTTTTCATACTTAACTGTGAGAATAATAGGACTAGGGGACACAAATATAAATTTTGGCAAGGTAGGAGTCATCTTTGGTTAAGACAGTTTCATTTTTCTAACAGAATGGTTGGTCTTTGGAATGGGTTGCCTTCGGATGTTGTAGAGGTAGTAAATTTAAGTGAGTTTAACAAAAAAGCTGGATAAGTATATGAATGATAATGGCTGGCTTTAAGATTTATTTTTTTAATTACTTTAATTTAGTTTAGAGGATGGAACAGCCAAAATGGTCCAATAGGTCCCATGTTGGCTAAAAACATTGTTATAGTGTGTGATTCTTATATAAAGCAACTATATGTATTTTATAAATTCATTTTTATTCTGTTGTGTGTTTTTAAGGATTTTTTCTTGTTATTGTAATGTTTGATGTTTTGCTTTAATTTTGTTTTTTTTTACTTATCACAACTTTAATTTATATTAATTTGTTTTCAGTCTTCTTTTGATATATTGTTTTTGCTTTTGTTCAATGATTGAATTTAGATTATATTCTATTTTACTTTTCTCTTGTCCCTTTTTGGGATATCTTGTGGCTAGTAGATCAGTGTTTTGGTTACTATTACATGTTCCTCAATGTTATGCCCTCTTTCCTTTTCACACCCTCTAGATTTATATTTGTTTTTTGTTTGCATTATATATATATGTGTGTGTGTGTGTGTCATCGTATTTAATACAAAAATTCATTTTATCCATTTCATCTGTACTTGTTTCATTGCTCACATCAATATTTGCTGATCATGCATTACATAAATATGTTAGGCTCAGATTATATTAGTTATTGTTTTCTTTATTTTGAATTAGAGAAAATTGGGTTGTTTTTATTTATTTTTATTATTATTCTAACATCTCTTCTTATTTTTAATCATCAACATTATGTATTTCAAAACTGTTAGCTACAGCATGTTTTTCCTCAATAATATGATTTCATTGTTTCTTCCTTAGTAGGATGGGACACACAAAACACCTCTCTTATTCTGAAAAACCTCACACCACAGGTAATTTTTGTTTTTGCATTTTTGCCTCTAAGATTGTTTTTTCAGTATTAGCTTCTAACCAGCTAAGAATTTGTTTGCAAAGTTGGAAACTTTTTATGATAAAGTACAGTCACTTCAACCTGTCATGTTACATATATATTTATATTGCTGCTTCTGAAATAAATTATATTCATATATTTTACAAGTCAAAACAGCTCTGATGGAAACTGTTGTAGTTTAAGTATACTCAAAAATTGCAAGATCAAATATTCCTTCTGTCATATAAGTTGTTTATTTTTAAATAGTTTGAAGCTGTTGTAGTTAACTTCTGATCAAAAATAAGCTAACTCTGTAAATGAGGAATACAAAGTAACTTGTAAATTAATGAAGCTAATGCTGTATAACTAACTTGAATTACGTAATGTCATAAATTAGTACAGAAGGAAACTAAAACCTGTAAACCCAATAATATTTCATGAGATTCATTCAGCTTAAGAGATTTATATTAGTCATAAATCCATATATTAACCTGATAATGTAAAATAACCTTCAAAAATTTAAACATTAAGTGATGTTAAACATTATATCCAATAATATAAACAAAAGTCACTTTAAAGGAAATGGAATATTTCATTACTTGCAAACCGGCAAAAGATAGTTTTTACTCCTACTGTTATTATACTGATTCCTAGGTAAGTATAAAACCAATAGAGACAGTTGTTTACTCCTGTATTCTATCACTGATTCATAGGAAAGTGTAACACCAGTAAAGACACTAGTTTACTCCTGTGTTCTATCACTGATTCCTAGGAAAGTGTAACACTAGTTTACTCCTGTGTTCTATCACTGATTCCTAGGAAAGTATAACACCAGTAAAGACACTAGTTTACTCCTATGTTCTATCACTGATTCCTAGGAAAGTATAACACCAGTAAAGACACTAGTTTACTCCTGTGTTCTATCACTGATTCCTAGGAAAGTATAACACCAGTAAAGACACTAGTTTACTCCTTTGTTATATCAAAAAGATAGAGAGAGAGGCGGCCCAAGCGAGGATGTTTGTCCCAGGATCCGTGCTGGCTCTCGATGCTCCTGTCCACCCATATGATTTGTCTGAAAATTTGAGCTAGAAACTGCTAATCCAGTTTGTTTGGCTTAACCAGTAATTATGTATCTACACTTCCTTTCACTGTATAGTTTTGCTGCTTTAAATCAGCCATCTTTAATCTGAATGACAAAAACCTAATAATGGTCCACTTTTACTCTAAGGTGAAGTTGTAGTAAAAATTTCAGATCAATAGCTCAGGTGACTTTTTGTGTAGGCATGTGCAAAAATTTTGGTCAAATTTGAGCAATTTTTGTTAAATAACTTTGCACATGTGGTTTATACTTAGACTAGATATGACACCTAATCGTAGGTTGTAAAGATCTATCAGTGTACCAAAATTGAAAAAAATTCATAAAAGTTAATTATGTTTAACTATCAAATACAGTTTCTGTACTTTTGATGAGAAGAAAAAAAAGTAAAAATTCAATCAAAATTGGAGATTTTATATCTCGTGTATTTCTTAATAGATTGCCTTGAAATTTGGTACATGAAGTAAGGGTCCAGTAGAGCATATCCACTGAAAATATGTGATAGTTTTGGTTACAGTCCGAGCTACAGAAAGTGGAAAATTGTTAACTATCACTCCTGTTAATAACACACAGTGTGTCCTGCAGCTTGTTTTGGCCACACAACACACTGCCGTGGGTCTTGATATAACACGTTCAACTTTACAGGGATCTTTTCCATGAGAAAATGTATGTGACACCATAGTTTAGTAGATAAAGACAAAAGGAACTTAACAGCTCCCTTGAAACTGAAAACCCTCATAAAGACAACCACAAGATTCTGTTCAATGGACTACATAGACAAAGAAATCAACCACATAAAGCATTCCTTCATTCACACCAATAAATTTCCACCAGCTATTGTTGAAAAACTCCAACATTCAACACAACAAAACTCAACTCACAAACAAAATTGATACTAACAAACCCAACAACAGAACATTACAATGCAGTTTACCTTTTGTTCCTGAAACCAGCTCAAGAATTATCCACACTTGGACAAAACTAGTCATTAAACACAAAATTCCTATCAATGTCAAATTCTCTCAAAAACCGGCCCTAAATTAAAATCGTTACTAAACAAAAATGATTTAGAATCACACAATACTAATGTCATTTACAAAATAACATGCAATAACTGCCCAGAAACATCCGAGAAACAGGAAGAAAATTGGAAACCAGATTCACAGAACACGATAAAAAACGGCCCCGTGTTTTTCACCATTGCAACTCAAAAAAACAGTATATCTATTAAAAACACAGTAATTTTAAACAAAGAACCAAACTCAAACAAATGAAAAAATCAAGGAATCTATCTTAATTGAACAAAACAACCCTACTCTAAACCAACACCCTGGGGTGCCAAGATATCTCTTCTAAGTCATGCACAATATCCGGTCATGTGACATCTTTGTTCCATACTGTATATATATATATATATATATATATCTTTGTGAGTGTAAACTACTTGTATCTGATAATCACAAAACCTTGTCGAAACGTTGTACATTTGCTGTTATGTTAAACTTATATTAAAGTTTTTCTTCATTGCTCATTCAAGCCATCTCTAAGCATTATTAGTTTCAAAGTGGGTTCCTCGTTATTGAATAGGGGTTAATAACAGGCATGGCTTGAGAAGTGGATTTCTGGAGGAATTGGGGGTTAGGGTTTGAGAAGTTGGGGCTAGGTATTGAAAGTTGAAAGTAAAGCTTGAATGTTCTGTTGGTGATTATTTGGTTCAATGTAATAAATGTAATTTTTGATTTTGTTTCAAATTTTTGTGTACATTTTTGGGGGGGGGAGAGGGGAAAACTCGCTCCCTGTTCACACCCGGCCTCGGCCAAAGCTTAGTGACCCGATACCCGGACCCTGTATTTAGCTAAATTTTACTATCCATGCATCTCTAGTTTTATTATGTGTCTGCTGAACTAAAAGGAGCTGAAATGATTGTGCTAAAGAGCATTATAAAAGTACACCAAAAGAGCAACAGTTGAATTGTTTAAATAAAACTTATAAAATTGATCTCTGTACTGTTCAGTTGAAGCAGTGGTGTGAGTACTCTGTACTTTAATAAAAATTTTGCAGTAGAATTCAAAACTTCCTTTGCTCAAATGCCAAAACTGCCTTTTATAAGTCCATCAAGATTTATTTTAGTCAGACATCAATAAAAGAATAATAAATTTTTGATAAAAACCACAATATTTAAATGGAATTGTTTCTGATCATATGTTAATTAAGTAATGCTTTATAAATGTTTTTCAAAAATATTTTTTGAAACATTTAGAATATATTTTTCTTTATGTGCATTTTTTAGAAAAAAGCATAAGTTGGCAAATGGAGTTTAGTTTTCAGAAATTATTTTAAAAATGCAATAGCTTTTGTGATCTTAGGATTTGATATTTAGATGTTGAGTTATTGATTGTTTTACATTAATGTGTCATAATTGAGAATGTGAAAACAACTTCTGAATACAGCTGTCATTCAAATGTATTTTGATTTTCCTAGATTGATGGCTCAACTTTAAAGACACTATGTATGCAACATGGCCCTCTACAACTTTTTCACTTACTCCTGAATCATGGTATATCTTTGGTGTGCTACTCCACTCGAGAAGAAGCAGCTAAAGCTCAATCAGCTCTGAATAACTGTGTCCTTGGTAATACAACTATATTAGCTGATATCCCAAGTGAGGCTGAGGTCCAGCAATATTTGCAACTTGCCAGTTCTAATGGAATGGTATGGGCAAGTAGTCAACCCTCAGGTAATTCCAACACTGCCACTCCTGGCTTTCGTAACAGCAGTAATTCTTATCCCTTCAGTGGACATGGAAATGGAGCCAGTAGTTGGCTAGAGTCTAATGCATGGCACAACCCAAACAGCTCTCAGCTGTGGGCTTTCCCCGGTAGTGGTGGTAGCCTGTGGGGCACTTCTCCTTTTATGACTGATAGAGATCAAAATACACGTTCCTTGATGAATTCCTTCTTGCCTGGGGATTTGCTAGGCAGCGAGTCTATGTAACTTGAAAGTATGATTTCAGAACTGTGAAATATTCAGTCACAGGTTATTTTGAGTGAACTTACAATTAGCTGACACATAGATATATACATATTTATCTCTCTGAATATACTAACATAAATCCTGAGGTGTATTAATATAGTGTAAAACAAGTGATGCTAACAGTTGGTCAGTTTGTGATACAGATTGTTGTGAAAATAAATGATCTTAAACATATGTGCTTAAAGGCTATAACATTAATCTATTTACAAGTAATTATAATATTCTTAGACTTCCAGTAGCCATATTTCAGTGTGATAACAGAACTGTCAATTATTAGCTAAAGAAAATTATATAATAAGAAGCTTCCATTGTGTTGTCCAAACTAGTGAGATATTGGGACATAGTTCATAAAGGTGTGTGTGATATTTTTACAGCATTGTTTTGACTGGCGTGTGTATGTGAATTCTCAGAGATTTACATTTTCTGAATTGCCAGAGATTTACAGAAAGCCTTAACTGAATATTTTCTGTTATATCAGTATTGATGGGCAATGAAATTGCAATCAGTGTGCAGCTCAGTAGTTTTGTAGTTTGCAAAAAACTGTTTAACCTTGATAACTTTCAAAAGCTGTCTTTGTCATTTGGGCTCTCAAGCCAGAAGGTTTATGTTAATAACTGTTTTTCTTCCTGGAAATTTTGAGCAAAAGTTTCAAGATATCATGCATCGTTTATATATTGTGATTAAGTGCTGCTTTTATGTGTTATGTATTTAAAATATTCTGCTAAAACCTATCAAGTAGAATGAAATAATCTGTAAATAGTAACTCTCAGGTATAATCCATTGATGTTTAAATGATTTTTTTCCAAATTTGCTGTTCAGCCACCAAATTATCATATTCCTACATGGTTGAAGTGAAAACAATGTTTTATTTTTAAGATCTTGCAATAAATTCTTTGTTCCTGCAAATGAAGAAGCTAGAGATTAATGATTATTATGAATTAAAGCACCTCTAGTTAGAGCTGGGTGATTAACTTGATAAATCAGTATTATCGATAACTTATGAGCATTGATTACATCAATTATTGTCCTGTAAAATAAATTATTAATCAAAATTATGATTATTTAATTCTATTAAATGTCTTGAAAATAACCTACTAATCAAAATTAATGTTTCTAATTATTCCAAATATTCAAGTAATGAAGATATTCAGTAATAATTTATCATTGTAGTACAATCAAGATTATCAGATTAATTCATTGGTGTCATAACTCCCAAAAATAATGAACTATTTAAAATTAGTGATTCAATTATTTCAACCATCAAATTAGTGAAAATATTAGCTATTACTACTACTTTTGGCATGACTGTGCATGATGGTATGCATGTGTTTTAATAACATAGAACTTATGAATGTTCGTATGTGTCCTAGTGGATGTTGGTTACATAATTAAGCCACAATGATACCTATTGCTTATGCTTATCTTGTATGTCTTGAACAATGTTGTAGCTTTAACTCAATATATTGCTTACTTTTGTAAACTACAAACATAACCAGTGTTACTTTGGATAATATTGCTTTAATAAAAAAAAATTACAATGAGGTAATGATCATTTAACTATTGTCAGGAATTACTAGCTATGAATTAATAACAATCTAAAAATATTTAATGCTGCTAAGTCATTAGACTATTAACATGAACATGATAGTAAGCTTTAAGTTGTTTTAATCTATTTATTTCTCAGTATGCACATATTTTTACAGTTTCTTCCAACCTGTACTATAAAACGTAAACATATTGGTCATTTTGATGTGTTCTTTCTAAACTTTCGTCTGTCTATATCAATAACATCTCACTTAAGAGCTTATGATGTTTCTTATACTTATAGAGTTAATTTTTTTGTTAAGTTTTTTATACTGAGTATCAAAGTAGAAAAAAAAAATTCCCAAATGTCTATAGTTAAAGATTTTTATCATATTACTATAATTGGCAATTTCTTGCAATACTCTGATTTTCACCTTAAGAACCATTTAAATCTCTTCAAAGTGGTCATTTAATGTCATCACAACTTTTCTTGCTAAATATTAAATATTGTACTGTCTTTCTGTTCCTAGTATAATTGTGCATTTGTTTTCACTGAATTATATATTATCTATCACACACTGATACAAGAATCTATACTAGTTTTATCAGATAAAATATAAGGACATTTATACTTAATGAAGAATTAATTAATTTAGTTTCAGAATAGTTTTGTGAAACTTTGTAGGGAGAACCCACAGAACATAATTAGTGATATTTTCAGTTAGTTACAGGTCTTGTACTACATTGAATATATGTCTAAGTGATACATTTTCACGTGCAAGAGTTTTAAGATGAAAAAAAGTAACTTATTTCTAAATTGTTGTACCTGAATATGTCTATCATATTAAATAAAGGGTAGTTCAAAAGTGTTTAAAAAAAAATCAACAAAAATTGGAAGATTAGTCTCACATGACAATAATCCATTAGTTGAATGTAATTGATTGAGTCCAGTGATTAATCAATTAGCAAATTTCACTAATTGCCCAGCTCTACCAATGGTCATGTAACATGTACTTAAGTTATTGTTAATCAGTTTGATTAAAATTATGAGGAAAGAGTGGAAGGGTTAAATATGACAAACTTGTGCTATCTGTTACTGTATATAGGAGTTGTATGGAGGATTTAACCTGTTATTGTGTAATGATATCATGTATAGTTTTATTTCTGTTTTATGGGATGCTTTTTGGAAAGATTAAGGACCAGTGACAACATTTTCAGCAATCAAAATACTGTTACTCATTCTGACTTTGATTTCTTGAGATTTGTTGTTTGCCAAAATTGATAGGATCAAATTATTACCATGCTTAAAAAAGATTGTTATGTACAAACAGATATACAAGGGTCCTTTTATTTTTACCAATAACCACTCTGATGCAGCATTAGTCATTCAAACCTGATATCAGACAAAGCCTTAACCCAGTGACACAATAAACAATGTGATATATATCCTTTTGGTACAAATATATGTTATTCTAAGTTATTCTGTTTATGGTATACGAGTGTAATGAAAGGTTTCAAAATCTACTTTAACAAATATTTGAACAATAAAACAATACAGTGCTTTTTTGTTATTTGATTTTATTAACATAATCAACCTACATTTTCTGTATATGTCTGTCAGCATCCTTATGTATGATAGATAATATATAATTCAGTGAAAAAAATGCACAATGATACTAGGAAAAATGAGAGTACAACATCTGAACAGTAAAACAAAACTAAAGTAATGTTTGACGTTAATGTATGTTTTGAAACCTTTCATTGCACTTCTACATGATAAACAGAATAACTTGTTTGATTTCTTTAAAGGAATGTCTTTTTTTAATTAAGTTTAGCATTAATGCCTGGTTAAAGAATATAGATATATAATGTAAATCCTGTTCTGTGTTTGCAACAGGTTTTACATTTATATTTGTAGTGTTAAATTATTTGAGGTGTTTGTTTTTCATCTGACATTTTTTAGTTATTTTTTTCATATTCATATTTACAGGTCATGTTGTTTCGAAGTATTGTTAATTCTTCCCATATCTCTTCCCTTTGTCCTTTCATTACAGTGATCTATGTAACTCTGTTGTATACAAAAAAATTGGAAGGCTGAGGTTAGAAAATTACCATGAGGCAAAACTGAATTAGACTTCCTCTAAGGAAGAATTCTTTACTATTGTTATGTAAGAACAAATTTTGTAAAGATGTTCCTATTTGCAATTTCTGTAGTGTACTTAGAATGCTTAGTCATTTCAATCATTTCTCTGTAATACAGAATATTTAATTTAAAATCTATTAGTGTTTTATAACTCAGTCTGTGGCTTACATCTGTTAAACTAATGATTGATAAAGCCAAATGAAAATAGGATTAGGTTCTTAGGTACCACTGTGCACGTATTGATCTCTTGCATATAGTCTGTTTTTTGCTTGAATGTGAGAAAAGATATTGTTTTACTATGTTAATCTGATATAAGGCCACTCCCAAAAAGGTTTTTCTCAGAATCGTAGATCCAATTATAACATGAAGTGTTTTTTGTTTTTTTGTATTTTGTTTTCTTTAAATAATCAAAAAGTGCAATCTTAGCTTTGTGTTGAGACAGCAATCTGTATATATGGAACCCAGTGTGCACATAAACATGTAAAATAATACAAATTTAATTGATATTATACGATAGATCAATATATTCAGCCTGGTTTGTGGGAAAATTGGGCTACATTACCATGGTATATGATATTTCCACCTCGTTCTGGTTGATTACATAATATGGAAAGTTTCATTTTGTTGCTGTCCCTTTACAAAAAACATTTTGTGTTATATATATATATATATATACCTTACTGTGTATATATATA